GCCGCAAAAAAAAAAAAAAAAAACAGGAACCAATGTTTTTGTATACTGATCATTGCATTGGTTTCATTGTTAACTTTTAATTTTTTAATCCAATTGGAATTTATTTTACTATGTGTGCAATAAGTATTTCTTTTCCAGATGTAATTGCTGCAATACCATTTAGTGAACATCATGTATTCTAAAGGCCACCTACTTTCATACAATATTATTTATGAAAAATTGTTGTGAAAGTTAGCTTTCTAAAAGACAAAACAAGATATTCACATGTCATAAGTCAGGAAGTACGAAGGAGAAGATGTCTGTTCTCAAGTCAGGACTCTGCCAACCACTCTATCAGCCTAGAATTGGGAAGGTGAACCTGGCAATCCTCATTGTAAAGACTCACTCACTACCCCTACCCAACACACAGCTTAGTGCAGTGAAACCTATAAAACTCTGCACCAGAAGCACTGTCTGGAGAAGGGATGAAGGAAACCTCTAGTCATTGCAGCAAAAACTGAGTAGGGTCTCTGCCAGTTATTCTCTACACATGAACAAGCCTCCGCACGGCCACAGTCCTGAACACTTGTGCTACTCTTGCTCTTCCCCACACCATCCATGCCTGGTGGTAGTGAGAACCAGAAGGCTAATAGTGGGATGTGACAAAATCCAATGAGACTTACTTTTTCTCCCCAGTGGCAGAGTCTAGCAGACAGCAGCACAAACCAGCAATTCAAATAATAACTACTTTTATCAATTTCATCTATGGATGCATTCCCAGAGAGCAGCTGAGTTTTTGTGTTTTCATTTTAAACACATCATAGTATAAACGTAACCTGAGTCACTTGGGTGACCACTTTGTAACTCACTGCTGCCAAAAAGATTTCAGGACTCACTTCCATGTTTGCGTTAACAACGCAGTTGGTAACACAGTACTACTTCAATTAGCTTGGGCTAATCAGAAACAAATACTAAACGATGTATTGCCAAGTAAAAACAGAATGACGTACTGATCACTGTGCTAAAAGGAAGAAAAAAGAGATTTCATAATGGACTGAACAGAGCAACATGCTGAGAAACGAGTCATCTCATGGTACCTAACTGTGTAGGTTTGTCATACACAGAGAGTAGAAATTTGGTGTTAGCAAAATATAATGTTTCACATTAAAGTTTTTAGTTAATATTTTACTGGTTTGTTACTTCATTAGTAAACTGGTTCCAATACATAAGGAGCTTAAAAACGTAGTTTAATGCTTTATGTTTAAGCAGCATTATCATTCAAATTATTTAAATCAACACACAGAATCCATGATTATTAAGTTTTAAATATATATAACTGAAGTTTGAGAAACATTGATTTAGATTAGATGTGAAAAACAGCTTGGCATGTCAATTCAATGTATAATGTGTGAAAGTTGAAAAACACCTATGCAATATCAGTATATATGGCTATATGTTCCTTTGCATTGGCATATTACAATTTACCTAACCATTCCCTTAAATTTAGGTTGTTTTCTAATTTTTCATATTATTACAAATAATACTATAACAAATAAATTGAAGCAGTGAACTCTTTCCTTCTTTTTTGAATTACTTCCTTGGAAAACAATGAAATTCCCGGGAAAAACTGGCATCTAAAATTGAAAAACTTTATACTTCCACAAGCATCCAGAGTATACCAATATCATTATTACAGACCCAGCACCATGTGTTACCATTATTTTTTGTTAACTCTGGGACATGTGCATTCCTTGCATCTTACCCTTTTACGAATCACCGATGTGCACAGTTACCCTTTTTTGGCCAAAGATTAAACTTAGTATAGACTTTTAATCAGATATATTTTCTTTGCTCTTCAAATATAAACATGTGTCCACTGAAAGTGATTCTCAGGGATATATTTGTAGATGAGAAGATCAGTGGGGACCAAGAGCAATTTCTATATTGTTTATACATGAAGACTGGACTCAGGTTAGCCCATTTTGGTGATAGTCTGATCAAAGGGAGTCATCTGCCTCTGATTTCCCCCCACTACTATATGCACAGTGCTATTTCCTGAAATTTTCTTGAATTTTCTAGTATACCTACATCCTTTAGTTTGAACAAACAGGAGCTATTTTATAATCCTGCTTTCTACTTCTAATATTAAGGAACGAGTATCACAAAACGTCATTAAGAACACAACTAATAATCATAATATAATGGAATGACTAATATCTTTTTGCACTTTTCTAGGCAATCATATATAAACCAAAGCTGATAAATAAAAAAGCCAGCATACTCTTTCATGGCATTCAAATGTATTTTGCAGCATAAAATATATACTAATATGGGACTTCCTTAAGCTCCAGTGGTTAAGACTCAGTGCTTCCACTGCAGGGGGCACGGGTTCAATCCCTGGTGGGCAACTAAGATCCCACATGCCGCACACACACACAGCCAAAAAAAAAAAAAAAAAAAAAAAAGGAAAATATATACCAATAACCAATAAAAAGTAAACAATGCAAAACAAACACATAAAGAAAAAGCTACTTGCTTAGATGTTTCAATTGCTAAAAGATACACTTTAACAGAATATATCAGATTAATATTTCTACCTAACTCCTGCTCCAGCTACCCAGGATATATTGTATCATTAAACAGGGCAAGTTAATAAGGCAACTGAATTATAATTAAATAAGGTAATTTCCTTACAATTCTCACTAAGATCTTTAAAATAATTTATTTGACAGGGAGTCTTATTATTCTTTAATTGCTGTTATTTTTACATGATAAAGTTGCCTAGTCTTTCTCTTTGAACTTCTGATGAAGAAAGATCTAGGGATTAAATGAAATGAATATTAAAGTTCGTTGTAGGTGACAGCCAGCCTCCAAGATGGTTCGTAACGGTCCCTGCCTCCTGGTATTAACACCCTGTGTAGCCACTTCCCATGTTGTGCCACGATTAGTCTGCATGACCAACAGAATATGGCAGAGTGATGTCCTATAATTTCAGATACTAGGTTATTAAAGATAGCTGGCTTCCACTATGACACATTCACTCCAGTCTCTCTTGGATCATTCACTCTAAAGGAAGCCAGCAACCAAGCTGTGAGCAGCCCTCTGCAGAGGTCCATGTGATGAGAAACTAAGGCCTTCTAGGCCAACAGCCAGCAAGGAACTGAGGCTTCTTGCAAAAGCCACATGAAGTGAACTAAGTAAAAATGATCCAGGCCAGTCAAGCCTTCAGATGACTGTAGCCCCAACCAACTACTGACTCAACCTCACAAGAAACCCTTAGCTAGAAGCACACAGATAAGCCACTCTGGATTCCTGACCCTCAGAAATTGTGAGAGATAATGTTTGTTGTTTTAAGCTATTAAGTTTTGGGTTGATCTGTTATACAGCAATAACTAATGCATCACATAGTCAAGAAAGCAATCCTTTTAGAAGGTCTCTATTTTAAATAATGCTGTATACGAAACACACTTTGACTCTAAAAAGCAAGAAAAATCTAGACCTAATCTATTAGCACTGAAATAAATTCTGTGAGTGTGCTACTAAATTTCTAACAATGAATCCTAATGAAATTTTAGAAGAGTACATGGCAACTTAAAATATTCTCTAACGGGCACTTTCTGACTTAACAAGAAGTCATCTATACCCCTGGCATCCACACCAGATTCTCTAATACTATTTTATACTAAAAGGAATCAAAGCTCCAGAGAGAAAAGGCTAATTGCAAATCTTTCATTGGAATATACAAGGTGAGCCTGCTCT